TGTGGCTCATTAGGCACCGAACAGGCTATATTAGCATTTAAAAATAGACTCCTCATGAAAGTTTGATATGAATGAATTGGCCAAAGCACGAATCTTTCTTGTGTTCCCCACTACTCTAATGTGTGTCCACAGGATACCTACCCAGTAGTGTTTCTTTATCATCCCTCCTTTGCTCCTTTCTGTTGTCCCGTCATCATGGTGTTCTTTTATGCTGTGTAAGCACAAGTCCACACAGCATATCACTCCTGAAGCGTACCCCCTCCTAACCTTCAAGAGTTCTCCCTGCACAATCTTCACAACTCTGTAATGGTTGATGCAGTTACCATATTTCAGACCTAATTGGGTTGAGGCTACAGAGCCAATTTGGGAGGGTAGTTTGGAAGAGAGTTCCTCTGCGACATTGTTAGGCATTGGGATGTCTTCTGTGTTGCCAGGTGTGGATTGTAATTGCCAGTGAATGAAAAGAGCTCCTCAGAAGAGAAGGGCCATTGTGGTTTGTTTTGGGTATGAGGGTGGTTTATTCACAGCAGCACTTTCCTCTATTTCTGCCCAGTAAGTCAATACAGACAAGATGAAATTGGGTGACTTGTCTTGTTTACATCTTTTAGGTTTGTTTTGGGGAGTTCTGTTGCCCTAAGAGAAAAGCGTTTGTTCCATGCAACCAAGGTACGCACTCATCAAAATGACATATTAGGTACCAAGCACCCACTGTATTCTGTTTTCTTCCTTCATCCTATTTTCTTCTGTGTAACAAATGTACTGTCTTATAATCTTGTCCATGAAGCATTGCTTAGAGATGAAGATGCGTCTCACTGTCTGACCTTACATGCTGCTCTTCAGAGCCAGGATCTATGGCAGCCATTTTCTCTCTAGCCAGTCATGAAGAAGCAAGAGATGTAAATGTCAGTCTGTGTCTCCTTAACACTCAATAAAGGGCTGGGATTGGACCCTCTGCTCCGCCAGTCGATTGGCCATCTAATGAGGAGAGGCCTTACCATAACTCTACAAGATTCACTACTGTTTGTGTTTCACCAGAGGCCCTAGCACAGTAATAATTCCAAGTGGATAAATGTTTTCCCGATAACAAGCTGAAATAACCTGTCGGGCTGAAGTTGATGTAGACAAGAAGAATCACACAATTAGCGATCAGTGGGGATTTATCCTGGTAACAGGAGACAGAAGGCAATGGGAGCATAGTCCTTTTTTCTGTCTGGCAAATATCAGGGCTACCTCATGCAGATATGCTCTTTCTTCTGTATTTCCTCAGCCTGTGTGTCATGAGTCGCGGGATTTACATTTGTAGCAGCCCTCTGTGTTTTTACCTCTAAACATCCTCTCACACTAGCATTTAGCTTATTAATTTAACTGAATTCACTTTGAGAGAAGGCGTTATGGATGATGCTCTTGCAATGAGACAATGCTGTCTAATCTCTGTTTATCTGGTGGCTGCTTCCTACCTTGAAAAAGAGAAGTAGCACTGAAACTCATTTAGATTTGTTGAAAAGATAATACTAATAAAGAAGGGTTTAAATTAAAGACACAGTGTATTTTGGATCACGTTAATGGGTCAGTCTGCTATCACTTTTTAACAGCACTGACTGTACAAAAGCAGACAAAACTGTCTTCAGTAGCAGCTTATTTGAAATTGATTTTGTTTAATTGGCACTTTCTCTGCAATAATTTTCAAATAAAGACCTTATTTAAGTATCCTAAAAACACAGAGATTGCACTGTCAGACCATTATCCCTCTCCACTCCTTATTATGTTACAAGGCGCTCTAAAGTTGATTAATAACAAGCAATTTCATCATAAAGAGGTAGGACTACTGTAGCTATTATAATTAACCTTTAAGTGTGATGGACTTTACTGTATATTGCCCATTTCTATTACTGACCCACATAGATCACACCAGAATATCACATCCATGAATCCGAGGCCTCCCAGGAGCCGGAGCGTGCACTATGTGTCAGATGACATCATATCCCCACAGGAGTGTGAATTATCTTGCTTTTACCAGCTCCGTCATATGTATTTTCTCTGCTGTTCTTGCACAAATGTATCATTTAAACCATTAGCAGCACCTAGCTCTTTCATTAGAATGAACTATATCATCTTCTCCCCAGAGGCACCTGCAAGCCACCAGACTGTGAGAATACATTTCACTGAGAAGGAATATTGAAGGTGGCAACACGGCTAGGTAAAGTATTACTTAATTTATACTGCTAATGTATAACATTGATTCTCTGTGGTGGAAAAAAGGACAAAGTATTTTCAGAGCCCACATCATTAAGGTTTAATAATTTAGACCCAGTTAGCATGATAATAAATATACTGGGTGAACTTAAGTGAGGCTTTTGGTGATGAATGCAATTAGAAAACGTTGCACTTACATAAAAGAGTAATATAAATGGGGTGTTGAAATTAATTGGAGTTGGAGCAATGGTGTGGCCTGCGGTGTTTCACGGGAGGGATAAAAACAGCCTATTTTTCCAAAAACCCTATCCAGAATACTAACAATCCCCTGCATACTGAGTTTCCTTATCAATGTCTACATAAATAACAAATGGCTGGCCTGTGACATGAGCTTCTGCTTCTTCTCTTTTTTAAATGCAGCTTTGCACACTGAAATTAAAAGACTGATAATGTGCATTTACAATTCTTGCGAAGCATTTCATTTTATTGCTGTTTGGATGCATGGCTCTATACATTACCCATCATGGTTTGTAGTACATCATGAGCTGTAGAATAATTGGATAACAGTCACTGCTGCTTTTGCAGACTAGATTAATCTATTACATGCAGTATGTGTCAGCAGGACTACTTATTATATTGCACATTTTCATCCAAAATGAAGATGCTTAATAAATTTAAAGCAGTGATTAAAGGCTGGGAAGACAAAATGAAAAGTAAACAATTGGGTGAAAGTGGCAATACTATTCTCTCTTTTAAAGTCATTAAAGTTCTAATTGATAATTTTACTGCCAGCATCTGCTCCCTGCTGTTGTTTATTTAACATTTAACAAAATGCATTCTTTTAAACATGACTTAAAATTAAAGGCTGTCCTGGATGATACGAACAAGTGATCAAATCTATAAAGTATCATTCTGAGTGTAGTCTTGTTTTAGAAATGGTTTTACATTTTTCTTTATCAGACCATTTATGTATGTAGATATCAAAAGAATAAACAATCACTGCCCAGGAATAATGCAAATGATAATCTAAACTAATGTAAAATCTACTTCTGAGGCAGTTGTTCCCACTTAGGTTAGCTACAGTCATGAATTAGCTATGTTAGTTCCTGTTTCAAAGTTTTATCGCATTCACTTATTGATGGTACTTACTCTAATTATGAACCCCTGTTTTATACAGTAGCTCAGCAATAAGCTCTAATTTTGTGTTTCCAAGCTGTGAATGATCTTTTTGTTGGTGTATACTTTCCTCTACTGTAGCCTATCTATATGTTTTTGCTACAGTAATAAATAGTCAGCCTAAGGACCATTATGTAGTACTGTTACAATGCAATTAAAACATACACATTAGAGCCACATCCCAGAAACAAGTGAAATATAGTTTCAGCTTCTTAGAGATGTTTATATGCTAGTATGTAAAGAAGGTGAAATAGTGTTGGCATTTAAGAAAATGTTCTAGATTAGTATTTGGTACAGGTTGTCAAATTCATCCTGATTTCATCATGTACATAAAGCTACAAAGAGCTTCATGAAATGATTTGTTTACCAACTAGTTCACAGCAAACAAACCCTTCCAAGACTGATGTATGAGGAATAGTAGGTATTTTGTAATGTTGATAATATTCCAGTCAAAGACCTTGCTCTTCAGAAAAAGCTGAAGACCTTGCAGGTTTTTGAAGAGCTTTGCCAGAGATAGTTTTTATACCCCACCAGAAGATTAATAGTATGCTGCCCTTGAAAAATGAAAATCAAAGGTATCAAAAAGCTCCTATAGGGATTAGATCTGGGGAGTCTGATATCAAGCCCAGTTTACTCCTTACGATGTCATTTTCTTTTTATGGAGGAAGCAGGGGGTAAAAGCTCAAGGCAGCTATGGGATCCAGGTTTGAGGTAGTCTCCCATATACCACAGTGCATAAATCTGCACCATTGATCTCTAGAATAATGCTTCTATTGACAAGAGTGAGTCTCTCTTTTGGAAAAGTGATAACTGTGCAGGGCAGCCCTACTAAACGTTAATGGATGTCATTCCTGCCTTCATCTGGGACCCTGCCCTGTAATAGCTTTTAGTGTCATGTAACACTTCTACGTGTGAGTGAATGCACAAATGTGTTTGAGACCCTGCTGAGTAAGTTTACGCTAGCCGTTAATCATTGCCTGGGCCAGCTGGCCGCAGCTACCGGGCAGGTGGGCCTGCCAGGTTGGCAGCCTCAATCATACAGCACTGAAACCGGAGCCATCAGGGACGACCATACCCCTGGTGTCTCAAAAGTCCCAGTTCTTACCAAGAGCTATTTTGATTGATACCTTAGATGCGAGTCCAGTGTAATTAAATCCCAATAAACAGGCACATAAAATTGAAAGGAAAGACATAATGTTTTTATTTTGTCTCTAGTTTTGTAACAGTGAAACATCAGTTGAATTAATTCACTAATCACTGGAATTTCTCTGATACTGTAAAAACGGTCTGTACTTTAAGAAGAAATGTTGGGACTTTTCAACCTGGGTATTCCTCTCATACAATATTACTGTTTCCTACATATTTCCAACCAATTTCATACAACAGGAATCATCTTTTACCCTTCTTTTTGAGTATGATTGAAACCAAAAAAGAACAGGGCATCTGGCTTTTGTAGATGTCCTCACAAAATAACAGGACTCCTTCCTGGTCAACTTACCGTCTGATTTACAGCCCAGCTTCATGAGTACATGCCAGTGTAAGGTTGTGGCTTCCTTTCAGTTTAGCTCACATGCAGGTAGATAAGTAGCAAACACAAGAGATTGGTGTTGATCTTCAAGCTTTCAAATTGCAGAATTATAAGAAACAGACTGTAGCTAATTGCTGCTATGTGGTTTGCTAGTGGTGCTACAGGGATTTCCCAGGGACTGTTTTTGTCAGAGTCAAAAATGAGTGTCTAAGATGACTTCTGACAAATGAATGTCTTGCCAAACATTCACACATCCAAAAATCTGTCATCTAAAAGTCAACTTCTCAAAACACCCTGACATCTAACTAGCTCACTGATAGACAAAGGGTCAGAGGTGTTTAGCATTTTTCCCTATAAGAGAGGTAGGGTGTTATGTGGCCTATTCTTCCATCCATTGCTCTGAAGCGGCTCTGACAGGCAACCATCTGAAGCTGACAAGTGTATTGTGAACCAGAGAGGAATGTTGGGACCCTGCAATAGCACTGCAACCCACTGTGAGAATGTTTTCCAAGCTGTGAGGCTGAGGATGTACTGGGTTCTGTCAGTGACATTACATCCCACGTCAAGTTTACTTGTTACTTTAATCCATGTAATTTCTTTTCAGCTGCTAGAGGAGCTAATGAGACTCAAAAGAAACTCACATTATAAGCCCTTCTTGAGTGTAAAAGCTGGTTTTATGGGGGTTACATCCTGGAATTACTAGCCTTTGACAATAAGCAATTTGTTATTGATTCCAAGCATATCAAACTTTTACATTTTATTTTCATAAAAATTAAACAAACAAGATAAAATATACTAATTAGTGCCCTTTAGAGGTGCTTAGGCTGATTCATACAACTACCTACATCTGAAATCTACATCTACATCTAAAATAGCCATCAGTAAAAATGAAGGCTTTGGACAAACAGTAGTACTGCATATATTCCTCTGCACAGAGCCTTTACTTCACCCTCATTTCAGTGTGAATGGTCTGCAACTCACAACAGTGATAACTCACCCTGGGCTTGATATTAGTTGAGGGTGCCACAAGAAATCACAGACATAAAGTTAGGTGCTGTAGATTATATTGACAGCATACACACATGCACATCGCGCACATATTCACATCACTCACAGCTGTTTCCAGTCTCCTGTTTAGAGCTAAGTTCCAGTGGGCAAGATTTATAAAACCACCAGTGACAACACGTCCTTCTTGGCCTTTAAGACCTACATAAGTGGTGCTGTGCTGAGGCCAGCTGGGTATTAATAGCTGGCATGGGAAACATAAATTATTGCTCTCGTACCAAAAATGTCATTCAATCCTTACTTCTACTTGTCAGGTTTGTCCTCTTGGATTGCTCAGTAAATCAAACCATATGCTCTACCCTGGAAAGTATTCCAAATCCACAGGCACAGCAGTTGCCAAATCAACTTATCAGTCAAACCCTATGCCTATCTATTTGATTGGAAAAATAGTAGTTTCTCTAAAGGGGCCTGTGTCCTCCACGCTGTCCTCTATTCTGGCATCCACTTTCTCCAGCTGTTTAGTAAAGATACATTTGTGTCTCTAAGGCATTCGTTAGGTGCCACATCCTGTTGTCCAGTCTGTCAAAACACTGGTGTTAAAAAGAGATACCCGGGGCCTATTTTGAGCTAGGATGACCTGGGAGAGGCCAGCTGATGATGAGGGCAAAGTGTCGAGAAAAGCACTGACATTTTGTGCACGTGAGATCGCCATGTGACTAGCGTGACCTCATCTGCAGTTCACACAGCCCTTCAGTAATTACAGGGCTTTATTAGAAGTATATTCAACTTAAATCAGCCTGTTTTTATGAAGTTGAAATGTAAACAAATATGTTTTGCGAAAGAAGACACTTTGTATACAGTAGGAAATGATTAACCATGCAGTTAACTATCAAACTACATTAGTTAAGTTGCTATTAAGAGTTACTTATATCCCATTAGTCACACTGATCTTACTAAATTATTTCTAGATGTTTTCAAATGTATCTTCTCACTCACTTCTAAATGTAACATATTGTATAACATAGTATATAGTTTTGAGTGAACACACCCCTCTAAAGCACAATGTCATCGTCAAACTAAGTATAAATTGACAGTTTTGTTCAATAATAAAGTCTGAAGGTGATGCTTTTACAGATTATTTCAAAGCAAAGACTTCCATTCCCTTCTGTAGCTGAGATCTCATGTGACGGTTACTACAAATGGTAAAGAACAAAATTATTATTATTATAAACAATCAAATAAAATAAATATGTAACAGACAACGGAACCATGTTTATAAAACCGACAAATTCAAAGCTCAAGACAGTTTATGTCTGGATCCCACAAGAGTTACTGTTCCCTCCATACAGTTTTAAAAGAGCCAGTTATGTGATCTGTTCCATGGGAAATAAAGGGCTGTTTTAAATGCAGTTAGCACTGATGACACCTTGGGGACATGTTTATCTAAATATGATTTAGTGATTAATGAGCTCGAATGTGTCGTTGTTCTCCACTCCGTGAGTTAATCCTCTCGGCATCACTGCTGAAGCAGTCACGAGGATAAGAACGGATACCCTCACTGGCCTGTGAACATCTGCTGGGCCATTTAGTCAGCTAATAGATCAGCCTGGAAAGAGAGAGAGCAGAGGAAATGCAGGTGTTCCTGGCCAGAGCCAGAAGATATCAAAGCAAAAGTCCAGGCCAAATCCACCAGGGCACAAGCTAGATGACTCCCAGCTTCTCACAGATAATAAAACGAGCATAAAGTTTGCTTAAGGTACAGGTGGGGCAATTTTGCACCGTACTCAAGAGAGACTAGTCACCTGTGTGGTAAAGGGAGAAACTGTAGTTGGACGCATATGGGAGGAGGTAAATGAAATAATTTTTAGAATATCTCTGTGGAATACCTAATGGGGACAGGATAGAAAAGGAAATTAAAAATTATTCGAAGCAGATGGACTGTTCTTTGAGTTTTTCAGGGAAATGTATTAGTGCTGTGAAAGAAATGTGTCTGTTTATTTTGTGCTGCCATGAAATGAATGGCCTGCTGAGTTGTGCCTGTGTTAGTTTAAGACTGCCTGGCCATTATTCATAATTTAGAATGTGTTTGTTATCGATTCATGATTTAGTATGATTTATTGGTGCTTGTCAGGTTTCATTCAAAACTCCACCAGTTTTATTTTAGCACCAGGCCCAGAGTTTATGAAAAATATAAACAAAGTTGGGCAAAATGTGGATACAGTTTCATTTGTGCTTCATTACATAACGGGCTTGGCTGGATTCAGCTGGTCCCTCAGTGTAATTAATTTGTTCCTGTTATTTCCTTATTGCCAACAACAATCAAATGAAATGTTCTAGAGTACAATATCCATCAAGAAACACTTTGTAATGGAAATGTTGATGGGAAAATGTCAAAATCCCTCCAAGTTCATACACTGTTTAAAGTTCAGTGTGGTCAGGTAGGAACATAATATTAACAACCGATCAGGAACAGCAGTTTTGTATTATGAATCTATCCCCAGAAGATTTGTTAGGAAGCTGTTTTGTTTCTACAACAAGCATCATTAAATCAACCGGGTCTGGATGTCTGGAAATATAAGTTTACTCTGGTATTCACGTGTGGTTCAAAGTTGAAAGATGTGTCTCAAGATTAGAAGTCTCAGTGAATAACAGGGTCAGCTCAATCTCATACGAATTGCATATATTCTCTTGTAAATTTAGCCATACTTAATGTTACATTTTCATCATCATTCTTCATGAAAATTAACAAGAGCAAACACTGTCACTAATGCAAACCAGGTAACGCCAGGGTCAGCCAATATTATCAAATTGTAGAGTCAGTAGTTTCAGACTTGTAGTTTGAATCCAGTCTCCATCTGCAATTGGTGAGTAAAGCAAAAGCAGCTGCAGTTTACGAGTGTAGCTGTGGATTTGCTGAAGTGTACCATCTACAGACAAAGAGATGCTCCAGATTTGGTACGTGTGCCTCCTGCAGGGAAAGGGTTTTGCAATTGAAGTGGTGACATACACTTGTCTAAATGTGCAGGTGCTGCAGGTTTGCATGTGTAGGACCGGTCAAACTGTATTTTTCAGAGAAGACACTGGGGCTCAGTCACTAATATGTGTATAGAAATGTACTTACCTTGCGCACAAAATAGATTAAGTGCCTACGCAATATTACCATCAGATTCATGAAATGTGCACACCAGCTGGTTTTGTTCTTATCGCTGTGCATTAGTTAGTAAATTTGGATCATTCTACAGTGTCAGCCGGTGCCCACAGTTAACATTTAGTATACTGCCACACCCCAGTTTCTCTATATAAGGAAATATGTTTGCCTAGAGGTGTCTTGTGGAGAAAGTGGTGAAGTTGCAAGAGAGAAGCAGGACATGACAGGACTTGAACTTGAGGAGATACTGGGTGAGAGAGGTGTGTCCCATGACAAGTAATCACATAGCTGCAGCAAAACCTGTTGGGAATGGCTAAGAAGCCACTTTCTTGGAGTTAAATCAGAATTGTTTATATATCCTGCAGCCTTTTAATAGGTTGCCCATTAACCAGGTGGCTACCAGTTAACACTGGCTACATATACATAATTTTATGACACCAGAAATTGGTGCATATGCATTGTTTGTGAATGAGGCCCATTGTGACTTGATGAAACACACAGGCTCAAGTGTCCCAGTAAGCCATGATAGTGTGAGAGTGAGACAGCATGAACAATATCTGGTCCCTTAACCTGAAGCAGCTTAATGACATTCAGCCATAATTAATTAAATTTTTTTTTGCACCTGTGCTATATTCTGCTCTTCTCATGCCAAAATATCTTCCATAAAATGGTGTACGCTCATGGTGAAGAACGGATCACCTGCTGTATGTGAGTGAGTTACAAGCCAGTTCCGTAAGGTGCTCTTCATCTGAAAACAAATCAAAGGCAGTTCACAGCCTCACTGTAAGCACACTTACTGTGCATTGTGTACAAGTTATGACTAGCTTGTCCTACTCTTTACTGTAGACAAGGCTTGTTGTGTGTTAGAGGACAAAGGCATACTCCAAGCTTAGATTATACCTAGAATTCAGTGGAAGTGTTCAAAAACATACAATACATTGTCAGGACCAGACGTGCTATTTGTGGATGAGACTGTTCCACTTGTTCACAGATAAAAAAAATGCACACACAAAACAATAGACAAGAAGAGATGTCTGAGTCTGAATCATTCGCCTCTTCTTCATATGTGCCCCTCAGAGCTGCAGGCCAAGAAGGGAGATATGTTGTGTGAATTGTGAGAACAAAAACAATTCTCACCTTGAGATAAACAAGAGGTATCACTGAGGCTTGCTCCCTTCCTGCTGTGCTCAGCTCCATCCAGGACAACCAGGAATTCAGCCAAAAGTGGAGTTCACCCACTGTCAGTCTAAATAAAAAACAAAACAAAAAACAAACTAGATCAAGTAAGTTCTGACAGAGCAGCTTGTAATGGGATTTGATGTCTGTGGGCGTAGATGAGGATTCATAGTTCAAATCAATAGATCAAATAAACATACTAGAAGAAAAATCATAGAAAAAAAGAAATCATAAACTTTGCATAGTTGAAGAAAAACTCTCTTACAACACCACAAAGTCATTTGAGTGTAATTATGTTTGGTAAAGCTCTAAAGTTACACTTGAAGTGATTAGTATTTCATTTGAAAGTTTATCAAAACCATACTAATTCTTATAAAGCACGTGCAGCTCAGTGGTTTGACTTGTGCGATTATCTCTCGAGCAGTGAGCAGACCCACCTTCACGTCACTGGACCTTGCCTGTTTCATCTGGAACTAAAGCAAGTTGTACCATTCAAGTCTTAGATCAGCACAACTGACGGAAACAAACAAAACCCTTCCTGACAGCTCTAAAGCCTTTTCGTGTCTGAGGTTAGTGACACTCCACAAGCTGACACATAGCAGAGGAAACTATTGCTTCATTAGTAAGAAATGAAATAGTTTCAAAATGACCTTGTTCACTGTGCTGAGAGGGAATTAATAGGCTCTAGATTGTTGCTTCAGCTGAAGTAAATTAAGATCACGGCTGACCAAATCATTTAGTGATAGAATGGCTTTTCTTTATTTACAGGAGGGATCTTGGGAGTTTGCCCATGTAATCTATTGTGGACTTGGAGAAGGCCTATGATGGTTCCTTTTGGGGGTACTTTTGGAGTATGGGATACCGGGGTCGTTGGTACGAGCCATCCGTTCCTTGTATAACTGGAGTAAGAGTTTCGTACGCATACTCAAGAAGTCAAACACATTCCCAGTTGGTGTTGGTCTTTGTCAGTGTTGTTCCTTGTTACTGATCCTGTTTGTGATTTTCATAAACAGGATCTCAAGGCATCCTGCTGTTGGTCTATGATGTGGTTGTGATGTCCAGCACACACTGGGGCATTTTGCAGCTGAACGTGAAGTGGCAGGGAGGAGAGTTAGCGCCTCCAAGTCTGAGGCCATGTTGCTGTGCTGGAAAACGGTGAACTGCTCCCTCTGGGTTGGGAGTGAGTTGCTGCCCCAAGTGAAGGAGTTTAAGTATCTCTAGTCTGTTTATTAAAACAGTGTGTGTGACATGATGAATCATCTCAACCTTTCTTGTGTGCACTTTACTCAGATAGGTTTCTCTTCATCTGGTGCACATCTGATAGACAGGAATTTTTACTGCCTCCAGTGGTCATTACATGTGTCATTTCAAATAGACCTCTGGGATCTATGTTATTGAAACACACCACCAGTAACCACAATTGATGTCCAGTCAACCAGGACTGAAACCTTCAGTCTACTCTTATCAACAATTTTATGTTTAACAATAAATGAAATGACTGTGAATCTGAAAGATGTCACTCATAGTGACAAACCCATAGAGAATTATCAGCCCCATGTTTACGGACTCCAACTTTATTTGTTTTGGTTCAGTCTGATTTCTCATTAGTATTTTTTGCATAAAAGCTCTCATAAGCCTAGTCTTTGCTACCTTCCCACCACCAAACAGCAGAGTTAACAACTAGCTTGTGAACATGCAGTAGTACTCCAGTTATCAATGAGATATTTCCCTCAGGAACTGATGGAGACCAAAACAAAGCTAAAAGCAGTGTGAATATTTGAATTACATTTGATGTAGCCAGAAACATAACTTCAGATGAAGCTAATGTGGCTCCATGTAACAGGCATATGCCTGCATGGACAACATTATTAGATAATAATACTCTATATCAGTGCATAGCTTGTTGAGGTGCCTCCAAAATGACCCAAAAAAATCTATTAGAGCAGGTTTAACAATTATAACTTTACTGTGATTCAGCAACCACAAACAACTTTCTTAACAGTACATCTTTTTTTTATTATTTATTTCACAGGTAACTTGACAATAAATAAACATCTGTCATTCACATTTTAAAACTTTGCTATTTTCTAAACATGAGCTAATATGTAAAAATAGAAGGATGCAAGACAGTTATGTTCTACTAAGAGGATACCAAACATCAAGTCAGGACTTAAAGTTCAATCAGGAAGGTTGCAATTCGGTACAGTATGTGCCACTCCCATTGCACAAAAACAGCCATCAGTACCCAACCCTCCCGCTATCCCATAATGAATGAGAGACTTGCTTGAACTGAAGTGGCATGTCAGCAGGAGAGTAGGACTTTGTCGTTGTAATGGATGCCAACATACTTAACCCCACCATTTTAGGCATTAGCTTAAACCCTCCTGAGAAGGCTGCTTCTGGAAACACTTTTCATACCCAACCCACTTATAGCCTCTTCCTCAACACCCCCCACCCCTTGAATGCTTGGCAGAGAGGAAGATCTTATGATTATACCAGCTTTTGTTTTTATCCTCACCATGCTCAGATGAGTTTGAATTTCTAAGATGTTCAAGATGTGGCAGACAGACGGGAAGATAGAGAGGCAGAGTTAAGGTGAAAGGGGGAAGAAAGCAGAGTAGAGAACACGACTGTTTGAACTGAGAGTGTAATGTAGTCAGGATGGAATCTGTCACTCAGCTTATTGCATGTTGATGACTCAGGGTAGTTTCAGCTGTAAGCAGCTCCTGATTTATGGACGGTAAGTGAACTCCTGCGGGCAGTGAGCTATGGAGGAGAGGGAGATCACAGCCCCAGAACTGCAGCAGGGCCTCATTTTTTTCAACAAAGCTGAGAGAGAGAGGCAGGGTCTGCATTTTTCCCCATCATGCCAGACTGCTTTGCACGGCAATTAGCTGTGTCCTCATTTAGTTCGCCCTGTCCCAAAGGGTAATGAAACTCATACATCATCTTCAGGGCCTGCTAATTATCCAGCTCAGTTGCAGGTAAGCTTTGTAACCATGAGAAGGCCCTGTCAACCAGATATTTATTGCTCTTCCAATAAGCAAGTAAAAAATACTCTCGTGAAAGGTTGCCTGTACCAGGCTCCTCACACCCTTGACATACCTATTCACAAATGCGCTAGTCAAAGGGGAAATGTCTTCATTCCACATAAATCATCTCCTCTGGTGGAATAAAAAAAATGTTCAGCCAGAGCAATGCACAAGTGCTGGAAACCAGAGAACATAAACATTCTGGGGGTCAGCTTGTCTGTGTTGATTTACATGCGGATGGCTAATGGAGGAAACACAAGCGAAATACTGTACTCTGTAATGGTATGGCTGGGGGACCTTGCTTGCTCCTGCTGTTTCAGTACCTATTATTGAGAAACATGCATGTTTGGATTGTGCTACTCAGCTCTGAGACGCATTACAGTTTACTTGTCACTCTAAATATATTTATTTCGACAGCAAAGCCAAATGTTTAAAGCTAATCTTGACTCACTACTAATGAAGACAAAAGACTACAGAATATATTTAGTCCTAACATGTTTAGTTAAATCAGAAGAAATAAGAAATAGAAATACTGTTGTGTTTATTAAATGTTTTTCACTTGTGTTTGTCTGAAAAGATATAATTAGTAGTCACATCCAAAAATGTACAAGATACTTCCAGTAACTCTATGAACTTACAGTGTATATCCACAGGCAAAAAAAAATCATACACATATATTGTTGGGTCTCAAATGTAGCATTATTTGTGAAAATTAGAACTGATATGACAGGCAGGAGACAGTGACTACAAGGTGAGCGAAGGCAGCAGAAGGCAGAGGTTTCACTGCTATCCTGGCTCAGATGACACTTTCTAGCCAGTGTGATGCCCTGACATGTTTGGAAGTTTGGGCCCACATCCACTGTCACCTTCATACACAGACAGGGAACCTGTCTTGGCTCACTGATTGTGACCCTCATTCCTTTCTGCTTTGCCGCTATCATTTTCACCCCACCATCCTATCTGCCTTGAGCCTGCCAGCTAGTGCAGTCTGGGTATTGGAGTCTGGAGAGTGCAGGATGAGAGCTAGAAGGCAGAGAGGAGACTAATTGTCAAGGTTATGCCTCGGAAGATGATTGATGCCAGGCTGGGCTTTCCTGTCAGGCTGTCAGGAGGCAGGAATGTTTAATGTTCTCATTATTGGTTACGCTGTTGTGTATATTTCTCTGTCAGCGCCGCCGAGCCATCTGAACTGCCAAAGCACTTCAAAGGCCTGCAGGTCATTTATCTTCCCCTGACGCTCCCAATGCTCAGCCTCAGCTGAGTGCCAGTGATTTGTTATGACTTGAGAGCTGGCTGACAGACAGGTCCTCTGTAAGGAGGGGGAAAAAAGGAATCCTTTTTGTCACACTGTGAAAACATCAATGTTCCCGTAATGGGCTACAACTGTCAGTGGAGGCCAGCACCTGACAGTTGTGTGGCCTCACTAATTTGCAGTCCTGGTGACTTGCACTCTTCCCAGTTTAGATTCCGTTGTGGCGTCACATACAAACAGGCCACCATCTGTGGTTCACTACCATAGGGTTAGCAAAGGAGAAGAAGGACGGCTATGCTGATTGAAAATGCTTCATCATTTTGCATTAATCATCCAACCTACATCTTTCTTCTTAAGTCAAGGCCAAACAATGCATAGAAAAATAACTGTCTCACATCAATATAGGGAGGAAGCTATGACGCAGGACAGCTGCCCAGAATGTGGGTGAAAACGGAGAGAAGGAAAGGCAGAAGATAAGAGATAGGGTGGTGGTGGGGTCTTACAGAGGGGATGAGAGGAGGCTAGAGGAAGAAAAGGAAGAGGTAAGGAAAGGGAAAGGGCATGGGTGCAGTGAGAGAGGGGGAAAAGAGGAAAATCAGATCTTTGTTTCCTTTCCCAGGCCATGACATGATTAATCGTTTTCTTCTGATCTAATTTTGGAACATGAAAAACAGCACATTTGTCTTGAAGAAAAATGATGTGCCGCACAGTGCAGATGGAAATTTCAAGCTCTGAAAAAGATTAAAGTGAAATTCCAATCCTTAGACCTAATCATGAATTGTAGATTATACTGTAGTCTTAACCAGATGGTGGGTTTGATTCCCTGGATCCTACCTCATATTAATGAATGCTAGACTGTTATATTTGACTTTGGTAAGTGAAATGTCTATCAGACCTAATGGACTGCCAGCCAAACTAACACACGATGCACCTCTTTCTGCTCTGTCTGCATTTTTCATGCCTTAGACTGGTATTCTATGTGGAACATTACGCTTCACCTTCCATTTCTCACGGTGCCGTTGCCTGCCCTGCCTGCTAAATATTTTCACACAGAGGGTGGAGAACAAGAACAAACTTCTGTCCACAGCTAATTTCCTCCCATAGGTTAGGGCCATAACTCTCGACTTACAAACGTCACCTGGGGCAAGCAGGGACGGTAACTCAATAGTAATATGATTAAGCTTCCAGTCAATATGACTGCATGCACGGCAGTATGTTAACCAACCTAATTATGAGAGGGGTGATAAAAAGGGAGGAGTGGGTGGCCGGGCATTTCATCTCTGCACACATACGGTTGCCCTGTGGCACTGTCCTTTTCCTACCAGAGACCCTCTCACACACACAGTTCTGTATTTTATTTCGAGAAGGGTCCATTTTTCACTTGCCACAGACAAATTGTATTGCACAATTAGTTGTAGCAAACTACCTGCTGTAAAACTGGATCCTGTCTCTACTGTTACATTCTTTAGAGGAGAAATGGATACATCTGTTGCGTAACTTCTTGTTATGACATTATATTCCCATCAGAGTAGGATGATGACAGTGCACGATATTTATCAAGTAACACCAATACTAATTTCAGTTTCTGCGGGACTCTCTAAGCTCAACTGCAAAACTACTGACATCAGCTTTATTTAATGTTGCCATCCATTATTCTTTTACTCCATCTGTTTACCTTAGAGGAATAGTCCCACCTCACAAAAATACAAAGACAAGACACACTGCTGTGTGGGTTGTTTTGGCTGCTGGTTGAGTACTTTAGAGACCATTTCATGCCTAAGCTAACTTTGCTTACATTTTGTCTCATAATCCAGTGTAATGCTGTTCCTTTCTGGCCCTACTTTAGCTCCCCTCAGTTTCTGGACAGCGACAACTGTAAAATCTGGTAGCTGAGGAACTCTTGTGGCAGGCTGGCACTCTCCTTGTTTGCTAATATAG